TTATCCATAGTGTCTGTAGTTTTTATCTTAATTGTTTTGTTTTACATTTATTCCATCCTATGTTACCCTAGGCATAGACTACTCAGGAGCTAGTAACCTGATAGGTTTTGTTCTGTTTTACTAAAAGAAAGCATTAAGAGATTGTAAAAATAATTATAAAACAATTGCGTTAATTAACTAAAACTTTATTACATGCTGCTGCACAGTGATGCTTTCAGCTCCTCACTGGTGCACGTTAATGTATTACAGCCACCTTACCGGGTAGCTTTTCTTCCATTCACAGGGAAAATATGACTGAGAGAAGAATGGGTGTTAAACTGGATTATCAAGAACTGGGTCCCGAACTGGGATTCAACATGTAAAAGATTGAATTATAATAAACCCAAATGTAGAAGAAAATAGAGAGGGAGGTGGAGAAGGCCAGAAAGGGAAACCAGGACAAGACACATCCAGCCAGAATGAAGGACCCAGGAAGAGAAGACGAGCGTGTTAGTTTGCTTTTTGTTGTACTGATAAAATACCATAAACTCCTTGCGGGAGAAAAGGGTTTGTTTGCCTAACAGCTCACAGTCCATCATCAAGGAAGTGAAGGCTGATGCTGAAGCAGGAACCTGGAGGCAGGAACTGAAGAAGAAACCATGGAGGAGCTCTGCTTACTGGCTTATTCACCCTGGCTTGCTCAGCTGTCTTTCTTATACAGCCTTGGGATGGCAGTACCCACAGTGGGCTGGATCCTCCAACTTCAATTAACTCTCAAGAAAATGTCCCACAGGCATGCGAATCTGATGAAGCTAATCCCTCAGTTGAGATGCCCTCTTCCCAGGTGCATCTTGGTTTATGTCAAGTTTACAAAAGCCAACCAGCACGACGAGAGAAGAGAATCCTAGACAGCCTGCCTTTTCAGGGAGTTTGGTCAGTGTTAGTCAGAGCCCATGGGCCAAAAATCATTGGCCACAGAACTGCCTGATTGCAAAGAGCAAGTGATCTTAGTGTCTCTGTCACCACAATTAGTCCCTAGGTAGATCACCTGGGCAAGGCCTGATCTTGGTGCCAAGATAGTAATGGACTTCAAAGACTGCAGTACTCGCTCAAATTCTGAGGTCTGAAGTTTCATGGCAAACCCAGTTTCTTAGAAGTTGAAGTTCACTTATGTAATTCTGATTTCATAGGACTTTCCATTGGCTTACAAACTCTATCTGAACTTCAAACACTCAAATTTGGAATCAAATAGCTTCTTTCCAACATTTTGAGACTGGCCATTCTTAGTTGCTTTAAAAATATTTTTTTAAATCTTTTTTAACACTGAGTTGTTGTGGGATATTTTGGTCTTACGCTGCCACTCCTGAGACTAACAGTCAAGTTTATCTTTAATCAGAGGGCAGAGCTAGCTACTAGCTAGTAATTGTTTCAATGGGTAAATAATGAGAAGTAAAGTTACCCAACAAATGATGCCATCTCTGAAAACACAAATACTTGAAGATTTTGATAAAAATGTCACAGAGAGGACTTCATCTGGCTATAATATTTCATGTATTTGAAATGAAGTCACTATGTATTGATACTATATTGCTTGGATATGTAGGAACTGCTTCCATTTCAATGGGAGAAGCTGATATGAAAATTTTACTTTCAGAGCTGAGGAGATAGTTCCATGAGTAAAGCAATTGCCAAATAAGCCAAGAGGAACTTATTCCTAGCACCCACATAAAAATTAGATATGGTAGCACAAGTCTGTCATGCCAGGGCTGGAGGTGCAGAGACAGGAGCCTCCTGGGGACTCACTATCCAACTAGCCTCACCTAATTGGTGAGCTCCAGATTCAGTGAAAGACCTTGTCAAAAGAAAGAAAGAAAGAAAGAAAGAAAGAAAGAAAGAAAGAAAGAAAGAAGGAAGGAAGGAAGGAAGGAAGGAAGGAAGGAAGGAAGGAAGGAAGGAAGGAAGGAAGGAAGGAAAAGAAACTCATGGTTATTGGAGGAGAATCCACAGCCACTGACTTACTAAACCAGCATGATCCCCAACAACAATCCATAAGCATTTGTCCTTTGGTCTTCACCCCTTATCAAGGAAACCTCTTTTTGCAACAGATGGAGTCCACAACAGAAAACCACAACCAATCAAAATGTAGAGTTGTGGAGCCCAGTCCCTATGGATACATCTACAAAACATTCCCATCCCTGAGGCTCAGGGAACATTCCAAAAGAGGGTGCAGAAAGATATTAAGAGCCAGAGGATCAGGGAATTTGCCGTGATATTATGTCTCCTAGCAACATCAGAAGCTATACTTGTAAATTCTGACCAAAATGGCAACCCAAACATGAGCTGAAGAAGAATAACACCAATAAACATGCCAAGCTGGATGGGGGGAAAGTCCACGAAGCCTCAACCCTACACAAACAACTACAAGCTGATAAGATTTTTTTTAAAAAGGTAGATTATCGAATCTACTTTTAAAAAGCAGCTACTAGTTTTAAATATTTTACATTGGATTGGAGTTTTATATATTGTATACAAATTATATATATTGATACACACTTGAGATTGACTTTGTTAGAAAATACTGAATGTATATTTCTAATCTTGTTCAAGGTATTGTACCTATACAGTTTATTTAACAATGTAATGCAAGTTGCTAGTCCTTGAAAGTTATTATTACCAACTATTTAGGATAATAAAGAAATATAAGTTAGTAGTTAGTCATTACAATCAATCTTGTAGTCATATTAGGTATGTTTTCAAGATCAAGTAGAAGTATATTTTAGATAGGTCATCCTCAAACACTTCGGAGATCTACAGAATATGGCATTTAAGATGTTATAATAACATGGATTTTTTTTCTTTTCTTTTCTTTTTTTATGACAATGAGATATGTCTGCTCCTGGCAGCACCAATCTTCTTCAGAAAAGATGATGGGCATTGAATAAACTCCTTACGGCGTTTACTTTCACTGTGGCAAAAGTTAGCCAGGGGGCAAGAAAATACCCTTGCCTTGACTGCTGAGGATGCTGTCCAAAATGGGCAAGCAGGACACAAAAGAAAGGAATGCCGATCCTTGCCAAGACAAGGTAGGAAGGCTCTTTAGAAAATCCTGCTGCACAGATGAGTCTGTCAGATATGCTAGGCCTGTATGCCAAAGAAAGATGCCCCAACATTGCAGAGAAATCTCGGGTTACTGTCTAGGCAGCCAGATGTTTCTGTCATTTCTCACATTTTTTGGTAAGTTGCTTGTCTGCACTTCCTGCTTACTCAGTTAGTATTATTTCCTTCTCAGGTCTCTGAGGGAATTGAAGATTAGATAATTATAGTTTTACTTGTTAATAAATTCTGAAAAGAAATTCACTAAATAAGTGTAAAGTGTATCAATTTGAAAGACATCAAAAGATAGTTTTCAGTTGGTAATACAAGTTAGGGTAGAATGTGAATTAGGTACAACATTTTGTGCTCACCCAGATAGGATAAATAATGGAGATTTTTGTTTGAATTTGCTAAATGTTAATGGACTGGACATTGTTAATGTAATTCTTGACTGTATATGTTGTATATACTTATGGTACTTATTGTATATAGTTTTTCTTATTTTAGTTATAATCTTCTTTTATTATTTTAGACAAAAAAAAAAGGAGAAATGTGGTGATATATTGTGTACCCTAATAAACTTATATGGGGATCAGAGGACAGCTAGCCACTAGATTAGACATAGAGGCAAGACAGTGGTGGCACACACCCTTAATCCTATCACTCAGAGATCTGTCTAGATCTCTGTGAGTTCAAGGCCACACTGGAAACAGAGTCAGGCTTGTTAGCACACACCTTTAATCCCAGCGCTTGAGATCTCATGCCTTTGCTACCAAGTGCTTGGGCAGCACACTTGCCTTTAATCCCAGAACTAGGAAGAAAGTAAGAAGGCAGGGCACAGAAAGGTATATAAGACTTGGGTAAACAGGAAGTCTCACTTGGAGGCTGAGGAATTGGTAAGGTGAGGTTGGCTGTGGCTTGTTCTGTTTCTCTGATCTTTCAGCTTTCACCCCAATATCTGGCTCTGGGTTTTCTGTTAATAAGACCACTTAGCAATTCATGTTACAACAGGCAACTGAGTAAGGCTGGGAATGAGAGAGGTGGTCTTCCCCAGGGAAGAGCACACCAATTGGTTTTTCAGTGCCAAACGGTCAGCCCTGAAAAAGTGTGTGTGTGTGTGTGTGTGTGTGTGTGTGTGTGTGTGTGTGTGTGTGTGTAAAACATTATATGGACTCAACAGATTGTATTTATGAATATACAAATGTATATATGCATGCTATAACAATTATTGAAAAAGATGCCATGAAATTCGAGGAGAATGTAGAGGGGTATATTGGAAGGTTTGGACAGAAGAGAGGAAAGGGAGAAATGTTGTGATTAAAATACAGTCTTGCCGGGCAGTGGTGGCACATGCCTTTAATTCCAGCATTCAGGAGGGAGAGCCAGAGCCTGTGAGTTCGAGGCCAGCCTGGTCTACAGAGTGAGATCTAGGACAGGCACCAAAACTACACAGAGAAACCCTGTCTCGAAAAACTAAACTAAACTAAACTAAACTAAACTAAACTAAACTAAAATATAGTCTCAAAAATAAAATCATTAAAAAGATGAAGAGTGATTCAGTTTTTGTCTATCTTTTCTCCACAAGCCTTAAGTAATCGTAGACCTCTTGTTTGGGTTATGGTACTCTTCCCTTTGCTGTCTTCCTAGGCAATTTCAGTGCTTCAACTAAAACAAAACTCAATCTCTCTCTCTCTCTCTCTCTCTCTCTCTCTCTCTCTCTCTCTCTCTCTCTCCCCCCCCCCGTGTGTGTGTGTGTGTGTGTGTGTGTGTGTGTGTGTGTGTGTGTGTGTGTGTGTGTGTGTGTTTGTAAGAAACCATTCACAATGGCATATGCATTAATGCTTACTTAGCATCAGGGCTGACTCCCATGAGTGCTGCTTCTACCCCTTCTGGGCTACAGCCACACTGACCTTTGCTCTGTTCTGCACAGACCACCCAGATGTTCCTGACCCTGAGCTATTGTGCACTTACATTCATGAGATGAGCACCTAACCTCCGTTCAGTGGCCACCTCCCTAGAGAAGCCCACTCTCACCATGCAAACTAAGGTACAAAGCCTTTACCAGCCCTTTCCTTTTATACCACATATTTTTATTATCTGTTCAGCACTTACTTCTGTTTTAACTGTGTTATGTTTATGATTTATTGCATGCCTCCTCTATCCAGATGTATTTCATAACAGAGGGAACTTTTCCTGTCTGTTCACAGCTGTGTCCTTGTGCCTGTAATAGTGGCTGACACATGGGAAGGGCTCATAAATATTTGATGAATGAATGATTTTGACTCTGATTTCTGATAGCTTAGCCCAGACCATTCTCTTAGGTGCTGAGCACTTATATTCATTTCTAAGCAAGTGTTCCATGGGTACCACAGGAACAACATCACCAACCCTCAAGTTTTCCCTTTCCTTCCCAGCTTTTCCGTTGTCTAGTGCTGTCTGGGGCTTTGTACAAACAAGAACTTCTGTCTATTTGCTCGGGTCAGAAAACTGATAGTGTTTCTAGAGCCCTCTTATTTTTAACCCTTCAGTCTAAATTAACAGGCCCACCCATATTTTCTCATCCCTGATACCACCATTGCCGTGGGTCTGCAATCATTTCCTAATGGGTTACCTTGCCAAACTGTCTCTTCCACATGTTAACCTGTGACCTTGAACATATCTCCTAACTTCCCAAGGTCTCTTTCCTTGTCTCCCAGCTGGGTTACTCTTAACATTATTGCACCATGTTAAACAGCATCCTCCCAAAATATGTTTCCTGAGAAGTAAACAGGATCATATCTACACACATGGTCTTAACAGATGTAATAACTTGAGGTTGTTGGATACGTGTGGCCCAGCTCCAGGGACTAGTGCTGTTGAAGAGGGAGATCTAAACCTAGAGACATGGCAGAGAAAGTATGATGTGAGACATGGGAAGATAAAGGCAGAGAGGAGGAACCTCAGGAACTAGAGCTGCTAATGATAGCCAGGAAAGGAAAGGAAGAGCCCGCCTCTGAAGTCTTCAGAGAGGGCACAACCTTGATGGTTTCGGTCTTACAGGCACCAGAATTCCTTTCATTTTAACTCATCCAGTTGTGGTAACTTGCTGTAGTTACTCCAGGAAATTAACACAATTGTGAGGATAAAGAATAATTTATGTGAAGAAATTACAATTGTAATTGTAATTACATGGCAACACTTTAATCCCAGCACTCAGGAGGCAGAGGCAGGCAGATCTCTGAGTTCGAAGCCAGCCTGGTCTACAGAGTTCCATGACAGCCAGGGCTACACAGAAAAACCCTATCAGGAAAAAATAAAAAACCAACCAACCAACCAACCAACAAACAAAAAAACAATTCATATGGAACCACATAAGACTCTGGTTAGCCAAATCAAAAATTTTAAAAATTACAATTGTGCCCATAGTAAATATGAGATAAAATTTATTCACTTAATCTTTGTTACTATTCTGAATCTAAATTAAAGCTTTTAAAATGCAAACATGACCAAGCCACATGTCTGACCAACACTTTTCAGAGCCATTTGAATATCCATAGGAGAGCAAACAAAGTTTACAGCTAGCTCCAAACTGCCCTGTGAAAAGCAACCCTGGACATACCGCCTTCTCTATGAATGCCTGTTCCTCTCTTGCCTCTTCTCCTGCTAGATACACCTCCTCTCCCTGCTTTAAATACCCAATATCTAATCTCTAGGCTTCCTACCACAGTGTTTTCCTTATGTGAAATATTCTTTCTTCTTTTTCAGGTAACTCATTTTTCAGCCTCTGTGTACAGTCCTCCTTTAAGGGACTCCTGAATGCCACTCTTTAGCATTACTTGGTCACTTCCATTTCTGCCTCCTATGGCTTTACCATGTGTGTGAATGTTGACCTCTATTCTAAGTTGCTCTGTGAGGTCTGTGAGGTCTGGCCACACTTTCCCTGTTCTTTGTGTTTAGTCTAAGTACCTGGCATACAGTCACATGAGTTCAAACATACTTCATTGCATAAATAAAAAATTATGATCATTTGTATACACTAAAATAAATACGATAGCAAACATAGGATCGTATCTGTGTGAGATGGAACAGGTGGGCAGCTTGGCAGGTCATCTGGAACCAACAAAGACCCAAAATAATATGGAAAGGTGAATATTAAAGTACATTCATTTCAACCCTATCCTGTATTTCATGAGAATATTAGCTAGAAGTTCAGGAGGTAATGCGTTTGTCTCAAACTCGGTAAGCAGCAACAGCAGAACAAGGATTAGAATTCTCTCTCACACACAAGGGTCCTTCCACAGTACTGTACTTCTTATAGTAAGAGAAAGAGAAAGGCCTCTAGAAAGTAAATGAAAAAGAAGGAACAGAAGAAGTGGACCAGCAGCAACAGTAGGCTTGTTTGTAGAGAACAAAATGATGAGAGGATTTACAAAGGACGCCGGGCTAGCCAAGGAGTGAGTCGAACGGATAGGAAGTTCCTCAGATTCTGTAGGTGCAGCGAGAGAATGTGTAACCAAGGGAGGAGAGACAAATTCCTCAAGTGCAGTGAGCGTGGGGCCAGGGAGGCCAAGAACAATTTCCCGAACTGAGACACCACAGAAGGAACAGGGAGTTTCCAACCAAGCCCAAATCCTGCCAGCCTGCCTTTGGAACTCAAGCCAACTCAGATTCTCTGGTTGCTATCAAAGATGATTAAGACGATTAAGATGAGAACCAGGAACTAAAAAGGACACAGGCATCCAAAAGGAACAGAACTAGGCATATTAGATGGGGCAAACGGGCATCTATGCCAGATTCCTCCCTCCCTCCGGAGACACATACAGATCATTGTCCCCGAATTCTACATATTTTCATTCTCCTTTAGTTGGGGTGAGATCTTGCGGTTCTCTCCACTCGCCCTTCTAGGTAAACAGAATTACCTCTATTCATTCAGCCCTGGGTGCTCATATCCAGCCAACCATCTTCCCTCAATAGACTATGATTCACTAAGTCCTAAGCAAAGCTGAGCTCGGGGAGGAAGAAAGCCTTGGGGCTTGGCCTCAGCTGGCTTTGCTCCAGACATCTACCTTAATATACCCAAACAGCTCAGACTTTGAGATCATTAGGTTGGTTTTTTTGTTTGTTTCTTTATTTTTTTTTTATTTTTGCACCTTTGCTTACTCTATTGACTTATCAAGGACAAGAAAAAACAGTGATTTAATTCAGAATATTTTGCCAAAATGAAAATGGGGACTAGAGACCTGGGGAGGGAGCTTGGGAGCTCAGTGGATAAAGTACTTGCTACACAGGTGTAAGGACAGTCATTTAAAAATTTCTCTCTCTCTCTCTCTCTCTCTCTCTCTCTCTCTCTCTCTCTCTCTCTCTCTCTCTCTTTCTCTCTCTCTCTCTCTCTCGTTTTTGTAACCCCAGCACTGGAGATGGGTGAATGAGAACAAGAGGACGTGGGAGCTAAACACCTAATTTAGCCAAACTGTTGAATTCCAGATTCAGTAAGAGATTCTGTATTAAAAATTAATGTGGAGGTCAATTGAGCAAGAAATCTGACATTAACCTGTGTCCTCCACAGGCACACAGACAGGCACACCCAAAGGAGCCCTGTCCTATCAGCTGCCTCCTCCTCACAGTTTTCAGTTTATTAACTTTACCACATTTGTAGAGCACATGGCCAGTGGTATGAACTTGCCCCAATTTACATGCCCAATGACTATTCCTGTGTTCGTAGAGGTCATTTCCTGACCCAATATGGCTTGAATTTATGAAGGATTTTCCATAACAGCTACCTCTGTCAGCAAACCTATTGCAAAAAAAAAAGAAAGAAAGAAAAGAAAGGAAGAAAGAAAGAAAGAAAAACCCACCTATTCTTTTAATATTGATTTGTATGAATTCTTTCTAACGAATTAATATTAACACTATATCTCACATATTGCTTACAAATATCTTTCCTTACCCAGGAAGTATCTTTTAAGTTTTCCCATTGTTTTATTTGCCACTCGGAAGCTTCCTGGTGTGATATGGTCTTATCTTTCATTTTTAAAAAAAGTTTGAGTCTGAATTTTTTGACATAATACCAAAAGAATCATCGTCAAAGCAGTGTCAAAGAACTTTTTCCTACCCTTTCATCTTAACATTTAATTGTTTTTATTTTTATGTATCTAGGTGTTTTGCCTATATATCTGTCTGTGACCATGGACATACAGTGCTGGAAGAGGCCAGAAGAGATCATTAGATCTCCTGGAACTGGAGTTGCAGATGGTTGTGAGCTGCTGTGTAAGTCCTGGGATTTGAACCTGGGTCCTCTGGAAGAACAGCCAGTGCTCTTCACCACTGAGCCATCTCTCCAGCCATCTTTCACCTTTCTTTTAGGCATCTTATGGTTTCAGCACATTTTACTCATTTTAAATTTTTTTTGTATAATATGTAATAAAGATTAAATTTCACTTTTTAAATGTCATATATAATTTCCCTAGTACAATTTATTTAAGAAATTATTCTTTACCCATTTACTTTTGGAAACGTATTGAAGATAATTTGACCATATATGCCTAGGTTTGTTTCCTACTGTTTAATTTATCATAGCTTTGTAAGACAATTTTAAGTGTAACATTGCTTTCTGTTTTGATCTTACTTTTCTTTTTTCTTCCTCAGAATTATTTTGTATATTTGGTTCCATATTAATTTTGGAATTTAAAAATTATCTGTAACAAATGCCACTAAAAACTTGATTAGTATTGCAATGAGTCTATATTTTTTGGATAATAAGAAAAAATTAACAATATTACTCTTTTGTTCATAAGCATGCGGTATCTTTCCATTCGTGTGACCATTAATGTTTTCATGTATGCTTCCTAGTTTTCTGTACACACATCTTTCATTTTTTCAGTTAAATTCATTCATAAATATCTTCAATTATTCATAACTAGGTCTATAATTCAATAATAAATGAAATTTTTAATTTTTTAAATTATATTATTGTTTTAGTTAGAGTTACTGTTGCTGTGAGGAGACAACACAAAAGAAAGCATTTATTGGGTTTTTTGCTGTTGTTGTTGTTGTTCTACAGTTTTAGAAGGTTAGTCCGTGATCATCATGGCTGGAAGCAGACAGGCACTGATGAAGTAGCTGAGAACTTTACATCCTGATCCACAAGGAGAGGCAGCAGGAGAAAGAGACTGGGCCTAGTGTGAGCTTCTGAAACCTCAAAGCCAGTGACACACCTCCTCCAACAAAGCCACACCTCCTAATCCTTCCCAAACAGTTCCACTAATTGGGGGCCAAGCACTTAAATATATGAGCCTCTGGGGAACATTTTCATTTAACCAACCACAGATATTTACAAAAATACCATGAATTTTATTTGTTAATTTAATATTATTTTCTACATACAGAATGATATCACCTGCAAATAAAGATTATTTTACTTTTTCTTCTCAAATGTGTGGACATTTTATCTCTCACATGTTATATAATTGTTCGTATTACTTTTAGTGCTGAATAGGAGAGACATGAAGGATGTATTTGTCTTAGGCCAGATATTGAAGGAAACTCTGTTTCTCTCCAATGACTGCGATGCTACCTGTAGAATTTCCTTTCACATCTAAATTGCTCAAGAATCTATTTGTCAAGAAAGAAGTGTTGAAATTTCTTGACTTTCTGAATCAGTTGATATGATTATAGTTTTATCTTTTCCCTGTTAACCTGTAACAAAAGAGTTGACTTATATGCTTTAAACCAGTGTACCAAGCAAGAATCCTATGTCATTTTTTTAAATATTTGAGATTATAATGTAATTACAACATTCATCCCTTACTTTTCCTTCTTCCAAATGCTCCCATACACTGCTCTCAAACTCTCCCTCAAATTCTTCGCCTCTTTTTTCATTAATTGTTATTTTATGCATATATTATATTACATACAATAACAAATTATATTATATATCCCTAAATATAAACTGTTCAGTCCATATGTTACCTTCATATATATTTTCAGAGATGAACTTTGTCACTAGACAACTGACTGGTGTGCTCTTCTCTGGGGGAGATCACCTCACCCACTCCTGGCTTTCCTCAGTTGCCTATAGTTAATTGTGTAGGACTGAGGCCTTGTGGGCTTTCCCCAGTCCATTTTGCTACAAGGAATCAAATTATAAACTCTTCACCTACAAGCAATATTGTCCATGATATATATAATTTTGTATGTGCCCGGGTGACGGAAGCACATTCCTTTAATCCCAGCACTCAGGAGCCAGAACCAGGTGGATCTCTGTGAGTTTGAGGCCAGCCTGGGCTACACAGCAAAATCCAGGAAAGGAACCAAAACTACATGGAGAAACCCTGTCTTAAGAAACAAAAAAAAAATTGTATATAAATATACATACAGAAATTTATGAACTTTTCTCATCTGGGCTGATAGTGTTCCCTGAAAGAGCCAAAGACCACCAAACAAAAAACCCAATATCAGACACAAGAAGCCCTTCTTTTAGTTGTTGTCCAGGGTAGTCAAGAGACTCCTGAAACATATAACCCACTGCTGTCCCCCTTGGCTACCCCAGCCTGTAGAGGTACAAGGGTGTCCCTATTGCTGAAGACACTATGTATTTCTGCAACAGGACCCAGGGACCCTTGAGCTGGAACTGACCCAAATGTCCCCTCCCTGAGGACTAGCTTTCATGGGACCTCTTAAATTTGAGGCATCGGTTTTTCTATCATTTCATTCTATTTACTAACCTTTATCTGATGCTCATCTTAGATATTGACCTCTTGTTTCCTTTTGTAGCTTTTCTAGTACTTTTTTTCTAACTGTAGCATATTATTGACAGGGTCTTTTAAAACAATGGTCATATTAGGTATGCTTCAACATTACACTATAAATTTGTTATGCGGTATTTGTACACTGTGTGAAGATGTATTGCTGTGATTAGTGTAATAAAAAACTGAATGGCCAATAGCTGAGCAGGATGTATAGGACTTCCAGGGAGAGAGAGAATGCTGAGAAGAAGAAAGGCAAAGTCACCAATCAGAAACAGAGGAAGCAGGATGGGCAGTATGGAAATGAGGTACCAAGCCTCATGGAAGAACATAGATTTTTTTAAATGGGTTAATTTAAGTTATAATAACTAGTTAGGAACAAGTGTAAGTAAGGCTGAGCTTTTTTATAATTAATAGTAAGTGTCTGTGTTATGATTTATGGGCTTGCAGTCCTGATGAGAAAGTACTACTACATACGGTGTCCAATATGGGTCTTGAATATTCAAACATATGGCCTGAGAAAGCTAAGAAAAGTTCTGAACAAGGAACTGAATGTGGCTTCCTAGTTCCACAGTGTCTCGGGTGTGGCTACCAGCCTTGAGCCAGCCACCAGCATGGAACTGCACAATGGATGGACTGGCCCTTTAAGGTTTGGCTCACATGGTCAAAGAACATTGCAGGTGCACAAGAAAGCCAGGTCCAGACACAGGAAACTTCTAAAAAGATACAGCATTTCTAAAAAGGTACTTAGGTGCTGAAGAAAGGAAAGAAAACATAAACAGTCAAAGAAAAGATAGTTTAAAAATAATAAAGTCTTTAAAGAAAGAGTAAAGTAGCATTTTTTAAAAAGCCATGTAAGAATGGGAATATTGGGCTACTGGATCATGTAAACATTTCTGATGCTGAATTTTTTGAATGCTGATGAGTGAATAGCAGCTGCTGAGAGACATTGGATTGTGGAAGGGACTGCTGAATTAAACCAGCCTGTATGTGTCAGGTATGTCTTGGCTTCAAAATGGAACTTAGGAAATACATTGCATAGGTGGAGTAGGTATGATTTTGTATCACAGGAAACCAAAAGCTATGGATTCCTTCCAAATTAATCAAGATTTGGTTGGGAAAGACCTTCTGAGGACCTTGGCTGGAGACATGAGTGAAGAAGCCTGGAAAGACTACAAGACAGGTGACATGTATGCTGATCTCTCTGCATGGGAATAGCTCTGAGACTGGATGAGACACAATTCTTGTTGGTTACAGAATTCTCATGACTTATTATTACATGTTATCCTTTTAAATGACATGGATAGATATATATTATAGTCTGGATATGCAATCCAAATGGAATTATTATGTCTTTTACCTATTCAAACACAAAACAAAAAATCAACTTTAGCTGACTTGTATATACCACACATGCCATACTTGTGTTAATGCAGATATATGTTACCTTAGAAAGTTTGTTTTCAGTAAAAAAGGACCAGACACTAATAACGACAAGTAGCCCAGTTGATCCTGCCTCTCATAATGCCCCTGTTATAGTTTCCTCAAAATGTTGCATTCAGAACAACTTCAAAACTGGTAGGTGAGATGGCCCAGTCTCATAGACTACTCCAGCCAAGACTTCAGATAAGCTCTATGCTTTCCTATCACATAGAGACTAAACAAAAAAAGTAGTACAGCTAGCTATCCTAGGATTTGACCATTATCCCAATTTCTACAGGGTACCCTAAAAATGCCTTTGTGCCAAGACAACAGGAAGCAGTCTATAGAACACAATACCCACATTCCTAAGAGGTGGAATGGGTAGTTTTGGGTTGTTTGGTGGATTATAGATGTTTGTCATCATTCAGGGGGGTTGGTTATAAGTTATTGTTAGTCATGGTCAGGGAAAAACCCCAACAATGGAGATTAGATTCAGGAATCTCTTTCTGAAGGGAAAAAGGGGGGGATATAATATGGAAATGATGGGATAAAGGAGTGGATTGTTGAGTCCACTTTTAAACTAAAAAGCAACTACTAGTCTCAAATATTTTACATTGGTATGGATTTTTGTATATTGATACAAATTTAAGGCTATTTGTGTTCTACTGTATGTATGTTTCTACTCTTGTTTAAGGTATTGTACCTATGCAGTTCATTTAACAATGTAATGCATATTTCTAGTCCTTGAAAGTTATTATTATAAATTACCTAAGAGCCGGGCGGTGGTGGTGCATGCCTTTAATCCCAGCACTTGGGAGGCAGAGACAGGTGGATCTCTGTGAGTTCAAGGCCAGCCTGGGCTACTAAGTGAGTTCCAGGAAAGGTACAAAGCTACATAGAGAAACCCTGTCTCGAAAAACCAAAAAAAAAAAAAAAAAAAAAAAATTACCTAAGATAATTTAAAAGTACAGGTTAGTAGTTACTCATCTTTAACAATCAAATTTATAGTCATGTGAGGTATGTTTTCAAGGTCAAACAGAGATACATTTTTGGATAGATAGGTGGTCTTCAAACACTTCAGAGACCTTCAAACACTTCAGAATATGGCATGTAAAATGTCTTAATGACATAAGGCTTTACATGACAATGAGACACATTTTTCCTGGTAGCACCAATTTACTTCAAAAAAAGGGAGATGGGCATCAAAGAACCTCCATATGGAGTTTGCTTTCTTTGTGGCAAAATTAGCTACTGGACAAAGAAACTGCCCTTGCCTCAACTGCTGAAAATATGCTGCCCAAATTGGGCAAGCAGGACACAAAAGAAGGTGACTGCCAAACTACTAAGATAAGATAGAACAATTCCTCAAAATTCCTATTTCACAGAAAATTCTGTCAGATATTCTAGGCCTGTAGGCCAAAGATGGATGCCCCAATGTCACAGAGAGATGTTGGGTGACTGTCCAGACAGTCAACTGTTTCTGTCATTCCTATAATTTTGGAAGTTGGTTGCTCTGCACTTACTGTTTACTTGGGAAGTATATTATATCCTTCTCAGGCCTCTGGTGTGTTTGAAGACTAGATAATTAGAGTTATATTTTTTTATTACCAAATTCAAAAAATAAACTTATATAAGTTTATAGGTTGAGAGACATAAAAGCTTAAGTTGTTTATCTAAAAAGATGTTTCAAGGTCTAAAAAATACACTTTTAAGGATGTTGATAAAAGTAATGATAGAAAATGGTTTAGGTATGAAACTTTAAGCTCATCAAGATAGGATAGATAATAAAGTAATTTCTCCATATCTGCCAAATACAAATGAACTGGACATTATAAATATAGTTCTTACTTGATAATTTTTCTTATTGCATATAGTTTTACTGTATTATAATTAAAATGTTTCCTTTTTATTTAGACAAAAGGGGAGAAATATGTGAAAATGTATTTCTGTGATTAGTGTAATAAAAAGCTGAATGGCCAATATCTAGGCAGAAGGTATAGGTGAGACTTCCAGACAGAGAGAGAGAAAGAATG